TTGTTTATTGGGGGTGATAGAAAAAAATGAACACTTGTCATCTGGAGACAATTCAACTTGAATCATAAACATTTATGGTCAGACTGCCTCTAGACTTTGCACGAGTATGCAGGATACAGAAGACAACTAGCTTTTCTTTCATCTCATATGCAAAAGCCATGGAGTATCATGGTATCTGAAGGTCTCTGTACAACCAACTCTGAAGGGGCTAGATGCAAGGCAGATCATGCAATGGGAGGATGCTTGGACAGCACCAAGTCTGGATGCTGCAGCTTGCATGTGTAACTGGCACCCCAGAAAGAACACAGTCTAATTTGTTGTGACATATATTCTCTCTCCATGCGAGGGCTGGAAATTTTACTTATCTTGTAGAAATGTGAACAGTGCCATCCCATAGGACTTTTGTCAGGATTAGCTGGACCTGTTCTGTGGCTGTAACAAACACTGAGTAGTACAAACTGCTATAAGCCACTAACCTATTATCTGATCACAGTTACCAAGGATCTGAATGCTGAAAAAGATTTATATTTGTTTTACAAGCCTATGATAAAATGCTAAGTACATATCCCTTTGTTAAGGGATTGCTTGTGACATACATCATCCAGCTGAGGTTGAGCAACTGCCCTCATGTTCTGCCTTCAGCCAAACATAGCACATTCCTGGAAGTTTGGCACAACAGTTAGCTAGAAGATCTTTGCTGGGCAGAGACTTTAGCAAGCCAGTCTGAACATATGTGAACTGTCCCAAGAGTTATGGACTTAAGTCCTTCTGGAAATAAGAGAAAAGCCAATAGGTGCTCACCTTAATATCAGGTGCCTGAGCTCATGTGTTTTGGGTGACCACCAGATTTGGGTGACCTGACCCCAAACCTTTTTCACAGGGAAATTTGCCTATTTGACCTCCCACTGGGATAGCCAATATGAAAAATTCTTGCAAATTCAATACTTGCTGAGTTGAATAAAGGGAGAAATGGAGAATGAAGAGATGGTTGGATGTAGTCACAATGAAACTGAGTATTTTCAGGAAAAATAAATAAATTGCACAATTTGGCAAAGATAAGACCCCTGCTAGGCAACCTTAATTTCATGAGAAAGAAACAAAAATGATGGTTAGGAGTGATCAAAAAATGTCAGTGTATCATAAAGATAAAATAGGGTAGAACCCACTGTAACCAATTAGCTGGCTGATAATCACAAGATAAATCTCAGTAAATAACCAGCTCCCTTGGGTCACTATAATATTTAACAGCAGTACCAGGTCTTCATCACATAAGAGTAAGGATGGAAAGCAGGCAGCAGAATGTTACACAACAACCTATTTCTGAATAATGGTCTACTGATGATGTTAAAATTTGTAATATGGCCCATCATAGAAAATATGACTGTGTGAAGCACAGAACAGCATGACGGAGTGATGGAAGAAGGATCAGAGGTTTCATTTCTATTTCTATCACAGGCCTGCAGGGTGACTGCATCATGCTCTTCCTCAGTTTCCCCACAAGAAAACCAAGCAGGAGACTTGCACTTTGAGTCCCAAGAACAGTCCCCACAAATCTAGTATGAAAGTTGAAAAAGCCTTTAATTAAATCTTTTCAGTATTTTTTTTCACAATTATCAAAGGCAAAAATCAGTTCACAAACTCTTTCATTTTCAGATAATCTACTGTTATCTGGGGAAAGGAAATGTAAAAGTCAATATAGCTCCAACACACCTGCGAATGAAGGTGTTTAGGGGCCAGATGCAAGCAAGCTGCAATATAATGGGCTGTTTCATCCCTAAAAAGTCTGTGTATTCTGCACATTGTGCCAAATTTCAGGAACATGTTTTCAGGCTGCCTCAAACACAGAGCTGAATATTAACACTTCCTTGCAGTATCCTTAACATGGAAGTGTGTGAGAAGACAACTCAAAAGCAGGTGGACATTTTCCTAGAGAACACTTCCCTCCATCAATTGCTGGCAGAAGAATGGGCTACAACACGTACAAGATGAAGGAAATGATTGAAGCCCTGTAGCTATTATTTGCTGCCTTTGAGGACACAGGTGATGGGTGGGAATACAATGGAAAGGCAATGCCATCTCATGCCCTGCCTCCAAGTACATAGCCTGAAAATCCAGCCTGTTTATGTAGTGTGTTGAACCTGTAATCTGCTAAATGCTGTGATTAAATAATTGTGTGCTTAAGGTTATAACTGCTTTTGCATTCTGCAGTTTAACACCAATCTTTAAAGTTGCTATTCCACACTGAGTAAGTAACCTAATCTCAGCCTGGTGTCTGAGAACTAAAGGAGAACTTGGTGGTTGTGGAGGGGAGGAAATCCTAAAAGGATGTGTATTTTATTGGCATCTGGGGAAGAAAAGTGGAGAAAAAAATGAATGGAAACAGTAGTAGAGTAAAATATGTTTATTTTACACAGGCTGTGTTGTTGTGTTTGGCAAGCATTTCCCTTCAGGAAACCTGGCATGAAGTGTAGAAAAGGCTGTCGCTTTACAGGCTGAGGTAACAAGCCTTGCATGTACATGTGGTAATCCTCACCTAGGGCAGGAGCTTCCAGGGTGGCGTTAAGCCTTGCCTCCTAGGAACCAGCAGAGATGGGGTAAAGACTTTGGTCTTAAAACGTCTCTTGTTAACTTCACAGTGTCTCCTGAGATCTAATGGCAGAAGAAAGGAAGCTGATCGAGTTAGCACCACACTAGATGGGGGTAGTTTTCACATGCATTTTTGCTGCAAGCTGAAATAGAAGCAACTATGAGGATGGAGCAAAGCAAAGACAGGCAGGTTGAAGGAACAGGTTCCCTGGGCTCTGTTGGACCCAAACCACATGAAGGGCACTGCTGCAAGAAGGGACAAACTATTCATAACCTAGTCTTCACTTCAGACTGCGAAATACTATCAGTTACTACTACAATCATGCAATGCTACATCTATGTAGTTGGCTTTTCCCTTTCCCTCCTTAATGAAGTATTATTACACTTGGGGATGGGGAAAATTAGCTCAGGAAGTACCAGAAGGTTTAGCTCAATTTTTCTCAGGTTTCTGGACAGGCTTGAAGCTGTTGTTTTATTAACAGTCCTTGATAAGTTTGAAATGGCCCCTGTGACTGCCAAACAAGTCCTGACATAAGTTAGACTAAGAATAATTTAATGCAAGATTGGACCAGATGATCTGTAGAGGTCTCTTCCAATCTAGACTTTTTTATGATGGCATAAATGGATGATTTTATTATTTTATTTTTTAATAGCTGCATGACTTAGAGGCAGAGCTATGTGAATAACTGGTCTTTTGGTTAACTGGATGAACAGAAGGCTGAGGAGGAATAGACACTGCTAGGGGAAAAAAATCAACTCTTTTCAACAATTAAAAACTATGATAACACTTAGCTGAATATTAACGTGTTGCATTCAAGGCAAAATGTAACATTTCTGCTCCTTCCACAAATATTATGTTCAGTTAGGTGTTTTTTGTTTGTTTGTTTTGTTTTGTTAAACAAAATGCTACTGTGGATGAAATATCAAAAATATTTAAGAACACATTTCAGGTTTTAGAAAAATAAAAATGTTCCTTTCTTGGAGAAATTATTCATGAATTTCTGAAGAAGTGACTGAAAGCGTGGATAGTCTCCAGTGAGCCCAACTTCATTTTTGCCAGATAGAATATTTCATGAAAAAACAATCAATCCCTTTGTCCACTTAATCACTGTTCTGACAGGCTGGCAAAGGAAAGACAGGGAATTTCTGCTCCATGTGGCACTATGTAGTCACATGAAGGCTAAATGGAAAGACAAACCTAATTTTGCAAGAGGCCATCAGAAGCCATGGGCTCTCCAGTCCTGTGATGATAAAATCTTAACACAACAAAGTTCAGAGTTTTAAAAGCAAATGCCTAAAGTTCAGCTCACAATCCTGTACTTACGCATTTAAATACCTGTGTTGGTTACTCAAAGGTACTCAGCAAGGAGCATCACTGCTTGGAAGCGTAATCGGAAATGCTAGGTGAGCAGGACATTTCAAAGCCATACCATTTACTCTGGTTCCTTTGTAAAATTCAGGCTTTGGATGCACATTTACATATTCATGGATGCTCACAGTCCACTTGAAGATGATGAGATTACACAGTCCGATACAGTGGTGTTTTCAGTGGGTATTTAGGGAAGATTGAGTCTGACTTCAAGCACTCTTGCTCTTACTTTAAATCTTAGCTAAGATATTCCCCATATATCTCATGAGATGCCTTCAAATTCTAAAGTTATTTTCCTATTTTACTAAGTAAAAATAACCATTTGTCATAACATTCAATACTAATAATAATTCAAAATGGAGCAATTAATAGGTTAAAAGACACCAAATTTCTGTGATAGGAAAAGTGATGTATCAGTGAAGCTCTTTGTAGTTTGAACTAGCCTAAAACATAAACAGATTGCTTTGCAAGGTAGTATCTCTTTTGGATGCTGTATCAAGTCTGAGCTTAAAAGACACGGGTATTATACCGTCACTCCCCTGGACAAGCTCTGTGAGCAGGACTCTCTGCGAAAAATATCTGAGCACAAGTGGCTGAAAAATATAATGAAGCAGAGGCAATATGCTGATTGACTGAGGGCATGTGGGAGATCTGAGGACAACAATCAGTTATGGATCTGTAAGCTGTTTAAAACTACTCAGTGCTTGGGAGCCAGCAAGGGAGCAGCATCTGTGTGCTGCAGTGCCTCCAAAATCCAACCTGGTACAAATTAACAGGACGTGCTACAAAAAGAACTGCCTCCCTGCACTCCCAGCTGCTGGCAGGGAGTACCATGCAACTTGCATCCCCATTAAGCCAGTTGAGCATGAAGACAGAACACAGGTCCTTAAACATGTGGTCACCTGATGTTTTCAGCAGTATTTTGGGCTTTCAGGGGTGGTTGTTTGGACATGGCAGGATGGGAACGACCGGCAGAGCGTGCAGGTTAGAGGAGGAATGCAGCCACTGTCACTCCATTTGAGGGTAATCCAGTTTGATGCCTCACCTCTTGGTTCAGCATGGGCTTGCAGCCTCAGTTTTTGTTGGTGAGCTGCAAGGGTGCTATGCAGCTTGTCATGTCTAATAACTTCCTCTTCTGAAGTCTGATATGCTGAAAGATCTGTGCTGCTGATGTTAAAAGCTGGATTTTCGATGCCTTCTGTTGCTGCTCTCTCTCTCTCTTCTTTTACTATGGAAAACAAGGAGGTCAGAAGAGCACATTATAGCAAAGTGTATTTCAATGACAAGCAGAAAATTCCTTCTAGTAATTCCTTTGCTGAAAGACTCAAGTGTATCATCCTCAAATGTCGCCAAAACAGAATTAGGTTAAAATTAACTCTAAAAAAAAAAAAAAAAAAAAAAAAAGAATAAATGATTAAAATAATTACAAATTGCACCCTGACAAGCAAGAGCAAAATTTCGCCCACAGCCATTTGTCTGTAATTAGTTAATTAATCCTTACACAAATTATGAGCAATAACTCATCAAGCAAGGCTCACCCATCAGAAATTCAGCCGACTTAGATTTCTTCTGCTTAGTTTGCTTCAGAGCCTTCTGCTGGAACTTCTGGAGGGAAATTGTTAAATGAATAAGTTAGCTAAAGAATGAAGATCATCCTTTATGATCCACAACTAACACAGTATTTTAAATATGGGATGGCATTGAAATGTCATTTAATTTACATCTCTGCTAAAGGGGTCAAACACTAATTGAACAACAGAAGTGGAAGAATTAAATAAAATAGAAGAAAAGTTAAAATAAATGCCAAATGAAGGTCACATTAAAATACTTGTTGTATGTGTGTGTTTTTAACAATTTTAATTAATGCAAAGAAACCTCAACAAATGAAAAACATTATAAGGCTTGTCTTTACAGCATGCATTCAGCAGCAACTGCTTTATTTCACTTGCAGAACTTCAACGCTTCATTTAGAAAAGTTTGGTTATGCAGAATATTTGCAGAAAGGCTTCTCTGACATCCCTCCTTCTGCATTTCCTAGGTTCACTTACATAATCAGTTTATTTGTTCATCACAGGGCAGATAAAAATGAAGGAGCTCTACCCTCTCATATGAGAGGATAAAATAAAATCAAACACAAATAATTTACATCTAGATGTCACGAAAGAGATTACAGTCCAGGGGTGAGAGGAGGCAGGATTCATTACAACAGTGAAAAGTTGATTTAGAATTAGAGACATGCCAACAGAGCTACAGTGAAAACAAATAATGAGAGATCTTGGAGGAGCTCAACTCTGACAAGTTCCAATTCCTGTAGGGAAGCAAGGCCCAGAAGAAACATGGTCACACTAGTAACAGCAGGAAGGCCCAAGTGCTAAATTCCATCTTGGTATAATGCCTTGCACAGCACTAGCAATATGGGCTCCTGTGTAGCTACAGATCCCTGAAATGGACACTAGCAGTCATAGCAGGCAAAAATTATCTAAAACAAAGCACATCTGGGAATATTAATTAAAGCCAAAATCAAAGCAAGAAAACAGTTCAGACCCTTTTATTTTTCTAATGTCATATGGCAGTTCCTGAAATGAGTTTTGTTTTTTTTTTAAACCTGTTGCTTAATTGTTCGGTGATAAAGACCAGTCCTGGCAACGTAGCTCCTGGAAACTGTCAATACAAAAGGATTAATTACAAGAATCATTGAAAAAATGCAATTTTTAAAGAATCCATCTTTTCCATTTGATTGTGGGTGTCAATTTCCAGTAAAAAAAAACAACACACTTGCAGCAGACACAATCAATAAATCTGTCAAAAACAACTGAACCATAGTACTGGCAGGTTAATATCTATCTATCTATATCTAATATAATATCTTGATATATACGCATACCTGAATATATGTTAGTCTGAAAACAGTAGAATTCCTCTAAACTAAGATGATTTCTGTCCTCCTTAAAGGTAAATGATTTATTTATTTATTTTTAAAAAGGCAGACTAAACACATTCTGGAAACTACAATAAATGCCAAAGCAATGGAATAAATTCTTACAAGCTGTGTGCAGCACAAATGAAGTAAATGATAATTTTGACAAGGGTTCACTAGGTTCAGAAACTCACCATACTGCTTTTGATTTTTTCTGCTACTGAAAATTCTTTCAAAAATACACATTAGCTCAGTTAGTATCGTTATAATTATCGTTATAATATCACTTCTGCAATATGAAAGTATTTCTGTATTCCTTGCATACCATAACAATTTAATTTAGTTTTAAAGATCCCACCAGTATTTGTAACAATGTTGCATGACAATTCTTCTTATTAAACTCTATATAGTCAAAACACAAACCTGTTAACTTTACATTAATAAAGCATACAACATCTAGACAAATATTCTGGGGCAAATTTTCAACTGCATTACTTTCTATGTATACACATATTCCTTCTTCATGTCACACTTCCGCAGCAAAACAAATTGTGGACTGTATTTGTCATAGTTACCTTTCAATTATTATAGCCTGTAAGACATACAAATGTTCTTTCACAGAGGAAAAAAAAATAAAAGCGAAAAAAAAAAAAAAAAAAGCAAAAAAAAAGTACTATTGTGAGGTTTTATTATTATTAGTTTTCAGTAATCAGTATACTTAGCACCAAAAATTGTTTTGGATGGACACGGTAGTCTATGTTCTTTGGCACTGTTCACTTAAGTGCAGATTAGTATTTTTAAGTACTCAATGCAATATGGTTGTGATTTTTATTTACAAAGAACTTCAAAAGAAGTGATGCTCTTGGTTCTTAACATGAGCACCTTTGAAAAGGTGTTTTTCATGAGTCTATATTTTTAGAATGAAAGTAATACCTGATATTCTACAGCAGAGTGAAATTCTTCAGGGTTACTTCTCGAAGTAACTCAATAATGGAGTACTTCAGTGGTGTTTGAGTAATCGACACAAGTTCTTGCCACTTTGTGGTTCAGAAGAAGACATTCTCCTTTTTCTCCTTTCATACCTACCTCCAGAAAATTTCCCCATCCTTCTCTTTTAAACATGGGCACAGTTTATGTGTACCTACAAAACTTCAGTTTCCAATAGCAAATAAAAGATCTTTTCACTGACCACATGCCATACTTTCAGGCAATGTCCAGTTATGTGACCATACCCAGAAGAACACACATGAATGTGCATCCATACAAAAAAAACACATCTTCTAATTGTAGGACGTTATCCAAAAATAAACATAAAAGGCATTTATTATAATAACGTTCTATCACTTGAGGCCAGAATCTCAAGTGAGACGAAGGCTTTGCTGATTTACACTTGCTGTGGAATTGATCCATCTTACATCCACAAAGACTATGCCATCCTCAACTGGCACATAGAAAAGGGGTACCCAGTGTTCACAAAGTCAAATGAAAGCTTGAAGCTTCTGATGATATCAATTCATCCTATGTCAGCTCTGCCAAAGATGGTGAGAAATAAAATCTTGCCTTCTAAATTTTTTTATTTATTTTTTTAATCTTCATTGTAGTGCATTATGGCAAAGACAGGGGTATATAGAAGAGGCTAATCACAATGCAAACTAATCATGTAATTCAAACAGCCTAAACTTTTACACGCCTTTTTGCAGTTACTGCACACACTGTTGGCATTAAAATGTGCAGCCTGCTTTCCAATACTAATTTAAACAAAAGAAAGTGGGAGTATCTGAACTTGGGGAACCCAGATCTGTGTGAGTGCAGTGAGAACTGCAACAGCAGCAGCAGCAGTGAGGGAAGAAAAAAAAAAAAAAAAACTCATTTATAACCAGTGACAACTAAAACCTATGAAGTTTTTAAAAGAATGTGATTGTTGTCAAAAGGAATTGGGTAAAACAATGCTGTGTTCAGCTCTGGTTCCACTCAAAGCTGTGGCTGAGGGGCTCTGGGAAAGCTGCTGGAAGGCTGGTGGGCGCAGACCAGCAAGAAAGTGAATTTTGCATACTGTACGGATCATCGCTCAGTTCAGGGCAGTCATATTGAATCTGTGATCAACCAATTGTGCTTCATGAAACCGTCAGCCCTCATTTACGTCTAGCTGTTTTCTTCTGTCCTGCTGTAAACAAGCTCTGCTCTGAGCTGTCTCCCTACCCTTATCTGCTTACGAAGATCACACAGACAGACCTCATCAGCAGCCTTAGAGTTAAAGTTAAAGTTACTGCTTCCAGACAGCAGTCCCCATGCAAGCTGGAAGTCAAAAAGAAGAGCAACTTTGGAATGACAGAATTTTAGTTCCTTTTAGGAAATGCATACCTTAGATTCATACACATACTGGCATGTTATGTCTCTTTCATGAAATTAAATTAGGTGTTCTTAATATGAACAACTGTTTCTAACATCAGCAAACTAGCTCAGCAGATTCATCCTTTTTTGTTGTTGTTGTTTGTTTTGTTTTGTTTTGTTTTGTTTTCCCTTTGGGGCCTTGTCTGAATACAGCCAAAAGAGAAGTAGCTGGAAATATTGTCAAACTGCTAGGGCTCCAAGAACCTAATAATGCCTGAAATGCTCTAAGGAGTGTAATGATGGTAAACAGGAACAGGTATGTTGGCTTCTGTTCTCATTTACTTCAGTGAGAGCATTAGCCTTTAAACATAAAGCAGAGCACAGTTTTCAAAGAATGATCCTCGAGCATAAAAAGGGATGGAGCCTTACTAAAAACATATTCCTCTGTGAGCATGGACACAAATGTGTTAGTTGGTATTTACAGCATTTATTTCTTGTAACCAGCTGGTATGTCCCTGTTAAGGCTTTCCTTTATGCAGCTGGAGCTGGAACCTTTTCCCTTCTCCTAGCCTATTACTTTTGTCTATTTAAGGGATGGCAGCCAAAGAGAAACAGCTTGTAATTTGCACCTGTCTGCTTTAAGCACTCCACATTAGATTTTACAGAGAGCAAACTCTTCACTGCTAATGAGAATGACACTTGGTAGGGTCAAACACATTTTTTAGCTGACTCTGCAGCAATTAAAATAAATAAATAAATAAATAAATACCTGCTTCATTTCAGACTGTTCTTGCTAGAAAATGAGGCTAAAGGGAAAAGCCCTGTTGAAAAAAAGCAGCTTCTGTGAAAGATGTAACCTTATGAGTCTATAACGTAATGTTGGGCACAGCTAGTCATGACTGATCCTGTGCACTGCGATGGAGGAATTCAGATTCCATGCAGTAAAATTCAGATTCGTTTCAGAAAATGGCCACGTGCAAAGAATTCTCCTGAATTTCTACATGCTGGGCTGCCTTTTGAGGACTCACAGTATGCTTAGTTACCTATAGGTTTGGGTCTATGAGGAAGGTGTTCTCTGAGAATTAAAATAATAGAAGTCAGTGCTTCACTCCTGTTCCAGAGGTGTGCAAACTGGACTGCTCTGCAGAGATGCACTATGTAGAGTATGAAGGAGAAAAGGTGTAAATCAAGTGACTAATCCACATGTGATCTTTGTCTTACATAAACTATCATAGCATAGATTTATCATATATATCATATATCATAGCATAGCATAGCATAGATAACATAGATTTTTTTTCTTGCTAGAAAACAAGCACTGTTTGCAGTCAACTGTGATATCAGCTACAATTACACTGAACAAAATAACAATTACACTGGCATATGAGTTTATCTATTAAGAGGCAGTCTTTTTCTTGCCTAGTCTTAAAATAAAAAATCCCTCCAAAACTCACGCTACAGAGCTGATGACAGGAACAAAAATGCAGGGTGGGGGGAGGGGAGGGACAAAACAAAACAAAACAAAAGTAAAGCATACAATTTATTAAAGAAAACACCGGTGCTGGATTTTGATTTCATAAATTGTCCCCATTTGTTCTTCCTGTTTAAACAATAACTAACATGATGATGGGTTAAATGAAGTTGAGATTGTCACAAACATGGCCTCACTAGTAATTAATGTAGTTTAATATGGTTGTTGGCACACATCTCACATGACAGATAATGTTCCAACATGTCACTGATAGGACCTTTCAGCACAGCTTTAGGAGATCTACCAGGCATTGCCGAGGTTGGTTAGGTCAAAGGGTTGAACCATGTGTAATTCAGAACAGAGGAGGTCCCACGGTCACTCCACAAAAACAATTACACTACTTATTTCACTCCATCCCTGGCCCGAAATTCACAAGCCTCACAGTTTCAGTGCAGTCAATCTCACTCTGCCCTGGGGCTATGAGCCACATGAAAATATGTGGTGCTGTGTTTATAAATCTAATCAAAAATAGAAACAGTAGACAAGCACAATGAGGTCCTACTATGGATCATGGGAATTCTCTAAATTCTGAAGGCACTTTTGTTTAACTTCTGTGGGCCTTCTCCTACCATTACATTGTCTGGTATTCTCGTTAATCATCCTCTTGACTTGTCAATGATATAAAGGAGCCTACGTGTCTGCTGACTTCCCTCACATCACATGACAAATATTATTATGAAATAGCAATGTTAGGAATAGCATTTTTAATAGCCTTTTAATTTTCCTTTTCTAAAAGTTTTTTTTCTTCACTTACCTCTTTTTCCATGCCAGCCTGTCCTTTCTCAGACCCACAGCTAAAAACACTTCCTCCTACAACAAAAGAGAGGAAGCACATCTGAATTTTCAGTCCACATGCTGCCATTGATACCCTTAGGTTTAAACACACAGAGTTGCAGAGCACCAGCCCAGAAACCTGCCAAGATGGAGGTCTGCTGCTGCTGTAGTTCCCCCTTCTGCCTCACCAAAGAGCAAAGTGAGGACAGTGCTTCGCTTCATCTTTTTTGAAAACTTTGTATCAGGTCATGTAAATAAAATAACATAAAATAAAATAAAGTAAAATAAAATAAAGTAAAATAAAATAAAATAAAATAAAATAAAATAAAATAAAATAAAATAAAATAAAGTAAAATAAAATAAAGTAAAATAAAATAAAATAAAATAAAGTAAAATAAAATAAAGTAAAATAAAATAAAGTAAAATAAAATAAAGTAAAATAAAATAAAATAAAATAAAATAAAATAAAATAAAATAAAATAAAATAAAATAAAATAAAATAAAATAAAATAAAATAAAATAAAAATAAAAATAAGAAAATAAAATAAGAAAATAAAAGTAGTTTAAGCTTAAATGCAACAACACCAAGGAAATATTTGAGAAGAAGTGGGTAATTCCTAGTCATAGACAGTAACCACTAAAACTATATGAAATTTGTTGTAGAATATACCTAAACTGGAAATTGCAGTGCCAGACCTGCTGGACTCAGAAGTGCCTCTGTGATTCCTGCATCTAAACGAGTCCCACTTGTGCCTCTCTCCCTGTGATGAGATTCAGTTAAAAGTATGGAAATTATTCTCTACACAGATGTTATAACCATTATGGAAGCCTACAATGATTTTACAAGTTATGTATCCTACCAACAAAAATGTTCCAATTTTATACTATCTGCTTTTGTCTCTACGTGGGAAAAAAAATATTCTTTCAAAAGGGCTAGATGGGTTGTTCCTGTGCTCACTCCAATCAATGGCAAAACTCAGTCTGACTCCCTGGTCGCAGGATCTGAACCGCAATGAATAGCAGGCTTCTTTCTCTGCCAGCTTTTCCTTTATGTATTTATACAAACACACATTCAGATTATTTTGCAGAGGCTGAAAACAAAACAAGACTGAACAATTAAAAATATCCCTTCAGAGTCCCTCAGAAGATTCAACCAACCTACTGGGTCAGAGGATGCCCCATACAAAGTACATGCTTGGCCCCATTTGAGGAAACTCTCTCTCCTAAGGGCACCATGCAAAGTACTTAGAATTAAGTATGTGCTTAGGATTCATTGAAATCACTACAATGGACAGTGAACAGGGCCACAAATTCTCCACAGAAAAAAGGTTGCATTGTGGCTTTGGTTGCTCAGTAATGAATGAAGGGCTGAGCTCTGCCTAGGACTTGCAGATACTGAGAGTCTGCTGACCTTTGCCATCACCCCTGGATTTTGGTGCCCTACTTGGTGTGCCAAGGTCATTGATGTGATGCAGGGGGTTGAGAAGCCAGCGACTCCCTCTCCTCTTGTGAAGAGCCTTGTCCAAAGGGCCCCAGCAGCACGGCCCGTAACTATTGCAGAAACCACACCGAAAGTCCTCAGCTCCATAATATTTTATGATGCTAAAAATAAAGCCCCTATGGAAATCACACAGGTAGGCTAAGGTCAAATTTCTGAGACACATGATAGCTAGATAACAACCCCAGAGTCCCGATTCCAAAATCCAGGATGGGTTTTCAAACCCAGGCAGTATCTACATGACTTTTCCTGTTGCAGCTCCAATCCAATTGCACATCCACTGTATACAGCAGGTAAATATTTCTGAGTTCAACGGCATGGCAAAACAGTTATGTTTCAAACAGGAGCAGCAAAAAAGGAACAACCTGAAATAAATTAAAGGCAATAAAAGCTTGAGGTGTCTCCTCTCCTTTTAAAGGTAGAATCACAAGAAGCAGCCATCAGAAAGAACTGATAAAGATTTAAGCTGTAAATTCAACATTTTCAGCCATGGTCAATGCCTGTGCTTTGAAGAGGAGCCAAAGGTGCAATAATAAGGACTTTTTCAAAGCCACAATGGTCCTGGAAATCCAAACATCAATGGAAATACTTGGAGTTTCATCTTAATTTAAAGAATTTCATTGACCACATTAGGTAAGCAAACGCAAAAATATATAAACATCATTAGTGTCTTAACAGTGATTTTCTTGGAGTTCAAGAGCTTCCCATTATTTGGGCTTTCCGGGGTAATTTTTGTTTTGGTTCAGGACTTTTCTGGTGATTTTTAAAAGAACATGCTACAGACGTTGTTTTATCTTCAAAAAAAAAAAAAAAAAAACAGTCAGGCAGTACATTTAACACTGCATTAAGGGATGTTGTCTGAGGCCTTAACCTCATCAACCTATTTTCTTTATCTGGATAACAGCTAAATCCTTAGAATTAAACTGTCTTGTGGTTTTGAAAGAGTACAGCAAAACCTAAGTACATAACTTTTTTAGTCTATCAAGAAGATAAAAATCTTATTTCAGATCCCGCCAGATATTTTGTGTCTGTCAGATGTAATGTTTTGCATGATTTAGTAGACTTCAGTTACTTTTAGCACATTTATAGTAAAATGACAAAACAAAACAATCACAAGTTATTTAAAAAGTTATTAAAATTGGTACTTACCATTTCTCTCTCCCCCTTCCCCCACACATTTTTTTCCTTTTTCCTTACAGAAGAAAATCACTTCTTAATCATTTCTTTTCACAAAAGGAAATACTAAGGAAACTAAATCAAGCAGGCATCCTATCCAAGTAGCTTTCTGTAATAAATAATCTAAATTTTTAATTGAAAAATAGATGAATTAAATAGAATTAGATGCAACAGAAATAACGTAGACTATCACAATGTTATTGATGGGCTCCTGTTAGCAGCCACAGATCTGGAAGTGATCAAAACAACAGACCTTCCTGCTGGTGCAGGCTGAAGTACCTCATCCTCACATTAGTTCACGCTTTATGCTTTGTTTAGCTACTGGAAATAGCTGGGCTGCATTAAGAGCCTGCATGCAATAAGGGTCTTGCAAATGTAGCTATAAAGTGTTCTTGCCACGCTGGTCTGTGGCACAAAAGCCATCCTGTTTGTAGCTGCCTACCCAGCATCTTCTTAAAGTCCTTCTGAATATGCAGGCAAGTGCATTGCACATAGATAGAGTAGAGCAATGGTGGGCATAGCTAAGGTGCTGGGGACTGCTGGTGGAGAAGCAGTGGGTTCATAGGAGGAGTAACAAAGCAACAGTTTGTCGTGACAGTGGCTGCCCTCATTTCTTTCTCACCTTGAGTTGGTACACCATTTATTACATGCTAAGAAGAACTGTTGTGGGATACCTGTGCTACAATATTGGCAGAAACCACTGAGTAAATGATAACCCTAACAACCTACTTGTAATTCCTGTTAGACACTCTCATAAATACCAGCTCAGGAGCATTGGTCTTTAAGAAGTATTTCTTGAGGGGAAAATTGCACCTCTGGTGAAGAGAATCCATCAGTCATTAAATTCAGCAGAACTGACCTTTGAAGCTACAAGCTCTGTGATTATCCTTCTTTAATCAACAACTTTGGGAGCAGATCCTCCAAAGTAGTTTCAGATCCTTTATTTCTTCATCCCCTGACCTTTTTCTTTTTTTTTTTTTTTTTTAAAAAGGGTCTTGCTGCAAATATAATTTTATAAAGATCATTAACACACTTGAAATTAAGCTCACATTCAATTACTTTACTTGTTAGACTAATGTTCCTAGCCTTTTTTCTACCTGCTTGAAAAAGTAGATAGATAAACGGCTTTTCTATCTGTAGAGATATGATACAATGAAGTAGTAATACCTACTGCTAAATCATGCCAGCAATTCCTGTGGAAGCAAAATACTAAATTTTGGCTTCTGTGCCATCCTTGCAGTATTCCCATCTTCCACAAAATGAGAAGCATTGTAGACATAAACAAACACATCATGTTGCTCCAGAGCCTGGCTCAGGGACAGTTGTCTCTCAATATCCCAAAGCTTATCTTTGAGTGCACTGAAAATTTTAGTCATCCCCAGCAGACAGTCTGAAATAGGGGAAATGTGAAGCCAACCCTAACCTGGACAAAAGGCTTTCCAGAACAGGACACCTATCTCCCGGTTTTGTTTGCCAGGCATTTCTTTGGCACAGCTGCCCACCATAAGGCTTAGAAACAATCCAGAACATTGCAGCAGGGCTAGGGGAATAGGCAAGAGGCCAACAGTATGGCAACCACCTTCCTTCTGGTCACGGTCATGCCTCTTCTCAGCCTGCTCTCTGCTTCCACACTGCTGCTTAGCATTTACATTGCTCATCATCCCAGAGCGTCCTTCTCTGCCACTTCTTACATTGTGAAGGCAGACCAAAACCTACATCAGATGAACAAATGATACCTCCAACCAGGCTGTGCATGCGAGGCTGCTCTCCTCACTGTGACTGCGTGCTGCACATGCACCCTGCAACCATGTGTCAGCAGGAGCTCATCCCACCTGACTGGTCTGGTTGTGCTATCCTAGTTGTCTCCAAGAGCTCTCAGCACTCCCATCTCATGTTCCAGTCACCCCTATTCCAGCTCCAAGGGGGCCAGGCTGGAGGTGCCTATGGGGTACATATTGAATTCTTGTAACACCAACACTGCGCTCTCACCAATTTCCATTAAGATATTGTATCCTCATGCCGTTACCCATAGCACTATGCTTCTCAGCTGCACTCTGACTCTTACAAACTTAGTGCATGTTCTGCATTGTCTCTGTGACCCCATCAGCCATGGTGGGTTTCTGCTGATCCCTCTGGATGCAATGTAATGGTACCAGGAACCTCAGCACTGATGCTGTCCTGACTTCTGCCTGCCTGTCCATATCCCAGTCCTTCCAGTGAAAGAGGTTCTTTCACTACAAAAGGCTTTTGTGCCTTGTAATTCTCAAATAATATGGCCTCCAAATTAAAGCAGCATGTCAGTTAAAAATACTTAGCTGTACATCAAATCCTAAAAAAAACATATGCTTCAGAGACAGAAACA